TCTGATTGTTTCCCTCTCTGTGCCTCAACTTCTACTTCCACTAAACAGAGAAATAGCACACCTCAGGACTGCCAGGAGAATCAAAAAACTTACATTATTTAGAACAGTGCCTGGTAAACTCTAAACGCAGTGTAAACATTGTTATTCTTCTAGAAGAGCTCATTCTAATTGGTAGGTATACTTTGGAGGTTCTCAACATTTATGGTGTTGAAAACCTGTAATAATTTAAAATTAATAGATGATACCCAAGTATGATGGCACACACCTGTAATCCCAGCTATTGGGAAGGCTAGAGGCCAGCCTGGACAACATAGTGAGACCAGTATCAAACGCCAGGACTGAAAAAAATGAAAGAAAAAAAATATAAAAGAGAAAGCCAGAGGTGGGGTGTCACGTGCCTGTAATCCCAGCACTCAGGAGGCTGAGGCAGGAGGATCACTGATGGTTTGAGGCCAGCCTGAAGTACGCAGCAAGACCCTGTTTCAAAAATAAATAAAGAAATTTTAAAAAATGAAAAAGGAAGAAACCTCAAGCAGGGTACTTTAATTCCTGCCTCCAACAGAATCAGCACCTGTAGAGTTGATGATATTGTCTTAACTTTAAAGAACTTTGAGGAGATAGAATCAGTAGGCAAATAGCAATACTTAGCTTAACTTAAATTAAAACCAAGAAATATTTTAATGATTCATTCATTCATTTAAAGACAGTAATAATCGCATTATATGTTGACAACAAGCCTGTTATAAAAACACCTGCATTTTCCAAAACATAAAGCAATTAGTGAGAAGCACAGAGATACCCTACACTTCTGTCTCTCATTTTCTTTTATTACCTTTTTTTTTTCCAAAGTAAGTTTTATTCTGATCTGAAATGAAGCAATGAGGAAAGTGGCTGCAAGATCTACTTGTTCCTGTTGTACTTTGAGAACCGAGGTTACATGATGCATCTGCAGCAGGCACCTGGGCCCAGGCCTGGCTCTGCGCGTCTGTTCTGAAAGCCTTATTACCTTTTTTAAAAAAATTACTTTAAAGAGAGATTAGACTAGTGAGTTCTGCCTTGCGGCCACCGTCCCCTTCTGCATGTCTTGCGGAGCCAGCATCTGGGATTGGGCCGCAGCCTCTTCAGCAGCTGCTGGTGGTCTGCTGACGATGGATTCCCGCAAAGTAAACGAGCTTCGGGCCTTCTTGAAAATGTGTGAGCAAGATCCGAGAGTCTTGCACACCCAAGAAATGTGCTTCTTGAGGGTGTGGTGGAGAGCATGGGGGGTAAAGTACCCCCTGCTACTCAGGAAGTGAAATCAGAAGAAAATATCACAGAAGAAAATACAGAAAGCAAATTGGTCAAGCAATGGCCATGACTCATCCATATGGCTGACGCTGATAAAGGATCTACAAACTGCGGTACAGGGTTTCAGGGTAAATCCTGAGGGGATTTGACTGATCTTGTCAGATACAAAAGTTACATTTCTTGTTATATAGATCTTGCTCTATCTTGGTCTTAATCATCCAGCAGAAAAGTATAAAAACTAGGTATAAAAAGTAAAGCCATATTAATATGCTGAGCTGTGAGTGGCTCAAGTCAACAACTTCTGACATTGCCAGTCCTACGGATAACCCACTACCATTATGGACTACTGGACTATACTGGATTATTTTTGCTGAATTCACACACCTACAATATTTAAATGGCAATGGAATACCCATCCCTGACAAAACTAAACAAAAAAGGGGATACAAATGAAGGACCATTTTGTATCTGTATATACAAAATAGTTAAGATAGATATACAGCTACTTTTTCTTAATTCAATGAGAAGAAAGATTTGAACTAATAGTGTTTGGACAGGATATCATGTGTGCATCTTGTACTATGAATAACCACTAAGAAGACAGCAATATGCAATGTATTTATTATTGAAACTGTCCTACTAATGAATTTTGAAACTGTCTCATTGCTATTTGTTTCTCAATAAAATTAATTTTAAAATGCCGATAGTAAGAAGATGGGGAAAACATAAAGACAGATGAGTCGTCAAGTGAAGAAAGTGATTTAGAGACTGACAGTGAAGGTGTAATTGAGCCAGATACTGATACCTCTCAAGAAATGGGAGATGAAAATGTAGAGATAACTGAGGAGATGATGGATCAAACAAATAAAAAGAAAGGAGCTACCATGGATGCTCTAGATGATGGTGAACCACAGAAACCCGTTGACTTGTTCACAGATGGTTCAAGCTGAAGCCTTGGTTGGCCATTCTGTACACCAAGAGGGCCAGTGTCTTCATCAAATTACAGAAGCCAAGTGCTGCCATTCAACATTGTGACAGAGCCATTGAAATAAATCCTGATTCAGCCCAGCCGTACAAGTGGCGAGGGAAGGCACACAAACTTCTGGGCCATCGGGAAGAAGCAGCCCATGATCCTGCCCTTGCTTGTAAACTGGATTATGATGAGGATGCAAGTGCAATGTTTAAAGAAGTTCAGCCAAGGGCACAGAAAATTGCTCAACATCAGAGAAAGTATGAGCCAAAACCGTGAAGAATGAGAGATCAAAGAAAGAATAGAAAGGGTTAAGAAGGCTGGAGAAGAGCGTGAAAAAGCCCAGGGGGAGGAAAAGCCAGACAACAATCAGGAGCTCAGTATGGCTCTTTTCCAGGTGGCTTTCCTGGAGTGATGCTTGGTAATTTCCCAGGAGGGATGCCTGGGATGGGAGCGGGCATGGCAGGAATGCCTGGGCTCAGTGAGATTCTTAGTGACCCAGAGCTCCTTGCAGCCTTGTAGGACCCAGAAGTTGTGGTAGCCTTCCAGGATGTGGCTCAGAACCCTGAAAATGTGTCAAAACATCAGAGTAATCCAAAGGTTATGCATCTCATCAGCAAATTTGCAGCCAAATTTGGAGGTCAAGCATAATGCTCATCCGACAAAGTCTTTCCTAAAAGAAAAGCCCCCTCCCCAAGGACCAGAGGTGCCTCTGTGACAACGTTTAACTTTGCAGCAAATGACACCAGCTAAGCTACTGGGTGAGGACAGAACTGACTGGGGACCTAGTTTGCTAGCTGGAACCATAGAGCAGTACTGCATTTCTCTGGAACTCAGTGTCTCAAGCGGATAAATGAGGCAGATAACAGTATCTGACTAAAAGGATTGCTGGGATAATTAAATGAATTAAAGGGTCTAAAGTACTTAGAACTGTTCTTGGCACGTGGCAAGCACTGTATAAGTGTTAGCTGTCCTCATTCTTGCCATTACCATTATTATTATCCTTGAACCTCTGAACTTTTTTAAGGAGAAGGGGAAGGATGCCCCTCCACCCAGTATCTTCCTTCACTTTCACTCTTAGCTTCTAAAATATCACCCAAAAACACTTGATCATCACAGTCAAGATAAAAACAAGCTGGGGGAAGGAGCACAACCATAATTCCAATACTGACTATTCATATGAAGGATTTTTTTAACATGTCAGAACCTGTGTGAAATCTTTCATAGGCCAAAAGGTTTGTACTATTAAAATGAGCTCTGTAGGCTGGGGGTGTAGTTCAGTGGTAGACTGCTTTCCTAGCATGCGCAAGACCCTGAGTTCAACTAATCCCAGCGGGGGGGTCGGGGGGGGGGGAAGCTATTTGCCAGGTGAGAGCGTTAAGGCTCAAAATGCTGAACCATAGGACCTCGACGACAGCTCCAAATAATACCACCAGGGGGCAGTGCATGGTCAACATTCCAATTCAGCAGTCTACCCGGAGCACAAGGGAAAAGATTTGACGAGCCTGCGTCGTGCCACGCACTGTTCAGATTGCTAAAGATACGTCAGCAAATTTGGGGATGGAGGGGAAGCAGCACTAGGGGCTCTTCCTTTCCACTCTTCCATAAAAATCAAAGGCATTTCACTGAGTTGCGTGTCCAAAGGGTACGTGACTGGACCTGGAAAAAAAGGGCTTCGAGGAACCCGAACTGGAAGGCTGGAGGCTCATGGGAAGGAAGGAGAATTTCTGAAAAGTCTGCCCCAAACTCAGGCTCAACAACGCGCCTGGAAAGGGTGTCATCCAGGAGCAAGCCCTAGCAAAGCTGTCTCCACATCGTGTCTTTCTGTTTCATGAGGCTGGGAGTAAGAGTCACCCTAGGAAACTACAGTGGGCAGAAAGGGTGGCCCGCACAGGTCTGTTTGGTTCCTCGGTTTTGTTTCTGAGACGGACCCCAGCTTTTGAACTGAAGGTCACCCTGGGAATCAGCCCCATGAGGTGGTTGGGGCGCAATCCCCCAAGACTGGTCCCTGTAGGGCTGACCTGTGCCAGGCGGGTGGATTGAGAGGCGACTTAGTGCCAGACGTAGTGCCCTTGGGCACTGCTCTGCACACCTCCTTAACACAGGTTCCAGGACCGCCCCGCGGGCTTGCGCCCTGCCAAACCCTGAGCGTCTGCGAAGCGCACAGCCAGGAGCCCAGAACTCCTCCGGGTGTGCGCGCCAGGAACAGAGGAGGACGCACGCATCCGTGGGTGCTGTGCGCTGGGTTCAGAGCGCAAAGGGACAAGGACACGCGGGATTGTGATTAGGAGGGGGCCCATCGAGAGGAGCCAGAGCCACGTGGGTGTGCCTAGCTGCAGTAGACTAGGGCAGCAGTGACTAGGGGATGCGCGTGTCCTGGCCTGGTGCAGATGTGGCTCGGGGAAGCCACTCCTTGTGAGCCCACGCTGGAATATGCCCTAGATTGCAGAAGGCTTTGCCCAGGAGCCCAGTAGGAGCATACTCCATGCGTGTAGACGAGGACGTTTTTGCAAATGGAGCAACATGGGCAAACGGTGACTGGAAGAATGGTCTTAAAATTTGGGATGCTGGAGACTGGAAAGCGGTCTCTGAGATCCGGCCTAGGAGCCAAGAGCTTGTGGCCCTGGGTGCGCCGGCAGCAGGCCTCACTGCCCGTGGGACGGGGCGGGGCCGGGCGGGGGCGGGGCCGGAGGGCGGGGCCCGCGGCTGCTGCAGCAGCACCGGCCAGGCCAGGGGGCGCCGTGCGCGGCAGCCGCTTGCTAAGGCTATGCAGTGAGGCGCTAGCGGCGGCGGGCGGGCGTGCTCTGAGCCGGGGCCGCGGCCGCGCTGCGGAGATGTGACTCGGGCCGAGCGCCAGCGGGAGCGTGGGCGCTGCGGGGCGCGCGGGACGGTGAGTGCGAGCCGTGTGGACACCGCGGAGGGCGCTGCGGGGACCCCAGAAACTTTTGGCATAGTGGGCCTGGGACGACTGGAGGGTCGGCTGCCTGGGCTTTTCTAACCACCGCCCCCTCCTGGGTTGGTCTGCTGGGGCGAACGTGGGGTTCTGCTAAGGGGAGCCACAGTGCGGCGAGAGAGGAGCCGCAGAGGCGGAGCGGGGGAGGCGGGGCCGGGGACCTTTATCTGGGGAACTAGGAGGGCTGTGTATCCAGCCCAGATGCAGCTCCAAGTCCCTGGGGGACCGGGGTGACCACAGGTGAAAAGCAGCGGCACGCGGGTGACTCGTGTGAGCGAAGCCGCCGCAGGCGTCCCAGGCTGAGTGGCGGGCCAGTGGGGAGGGGGCCGCGTCCGGTGAAGACGGAGCCGGGGCGCCAGGGTGAGGTTTTGGGGGCCGAGCAGCCGCACCTGCCGCAGGGACTGGGGCCGAGCTCGCGGCGCTGGCGGAGGCCCCCACTACCCGGTGCGGGCGGGGGGTGCCACAGGGGAGCTGAGACCCGGGACTGCGGGACAAATGGGGGCGGGAAATGGGGCGGATGCGTACAATGAGAGAGGGTCGTTTCCGTTCCAGACGCGGAACACAGCCAAGAGAGTAAGGACTCCCCTGTGCTGTGTCTCCTCTTCGTGGGGGACACGGTCTTCCATCCTCATGAGGGCCACACACACCCAGTGCCCGCCTGGGGCCCTGGGGCGCTGATTAACCCGGCCCAGAGGGGCGCACCGACCTTGTCCGGGAGGCGCCCCAGCGCTGCAGGCTCCTTCCCCTGTCCTTGCTCTGTCACACCCAGGCCGAGTTAGTTCCCCCTCCATGTCCCCCGATCGCCAAGGGGCGGCTTCTTGGAGCGAGGACAAAGGCCCCTAGAGTGTGGCGGGCAGCACCGACCCGCCTGAGGCCCCGGTACACGCGCCACATTGGCTGCCCAGCTGCGACGGGCTGTGGGGTACCTGAGTGGAGCCTAGGAAGCCCCGGGGGTCCCTGCAAAGACGAGAGTTGGGGAGGGGGCTGGCGAGAGGCCTCAGCACTGCAGCCAAGGAACGTTATTTCAGAAGTTTCTTCAGAGGGGACGCGGGGGCTTTTGGAGTAGCCAGACTCGAGTTCAACTGCATGCAAATGACATGTAAATAGAATGCAAATTGGCAGCTGCGGTTGGGAGCCCTGCCCCCGGCCAGTTTTCGATCTAGCCCGAAGAGTGAACATTGTTTCCAATCCCTTGCCTGTCCTGAGTCTCAAAGCGGGTGAGCTGAGATAGAACGGGAGAAGTGGGAGCGGGGAGTCTCCTTTGGGGCCGAGGCATCAAGACATACAGGTTTGTCAGAAAAACAAGCTTAAAAAATCTTCATTGGTTAAATTTTTATTTCTACAATCGTGTCAGCCAGGGAAGTAGGTGCTAGAATAACCCTTTGTATAAAATGAACAGGTCCTTGCTCTTAGGGGACCTAGGAGATGGGTCAGCACACACTAAAGAAGCAACTGAAGAACAAGCAGATCTCCTCCGAATGGGCAGGGGCTTCAGAAAATAAGGCCAGGCGCGTGAAGAGGCCACTGAAGAACACCGCCTTTGAGTGGAGCTCCGTACGGTGGGGCTGGCCCCGGGGAGGGAGGGAGATGCGGGGGAAGCATGAATCAGGCGAGGGAGAAAGCACAGAGCTAAACAAAGGCCACTGTGGCCAAGCAGGAGGCAGATTTAGGGGTGGGGGTAGGTGGCAGTTATCTGCCAGACCATCGTCTCTGGAGCTCTGAGAAAAAGTTGAGGGTTAATTCTGTTGGGCTGGTGAATCCTAGACTGGTTTAAGCAGGAATACACAGGACCTGATGTTTTGAAAGCTCCCTTGACCTGAACAAGGAAACAGGCAGCAGCTCCCTTCCCTTCAGCCTGTGGGATGCTATGAACCCACCCAGCCAAGGATGTAATTTCCATCCAATGATTGCTCTTATTTATAGGGTTGAAGCAGCTTTGCATAGAACTTGTGTTCTTGCAGCCCTGTTCACTAACCTCTGAGGGTTTTTTAGCCCCCAAATAGGCCAGTGCAAATAGGCCAGTGTCCTAAGTCAGCATTGGGAAATGAAGATATGAGATAGTGTAACTTGGAAAAGATATCAGGGTCCAGCTTCCAGGTCTGGGAAAGAGCTTAATGTCAGGAAACTTTGTAACCACTGAATCCAGCCAGGCCGGAAAAGCACCGTTGATGCAGTGGGAGTGGGCTGGGACCCGGTGATGCTGAAGTCCCTGGGGAGCCTCTGCCAGACACAAGTTGGACCAGAAGGACAGTGGAACAGCCTTGGGGTCCAGACTGAGAGAAACCGGTTCTAGTCCCAGCATGGCCTGGAAGTTCCAGTAAGCTTCTGCCCGACGGCTTAACTTTTCTGCCCTCCTTGTCCCAACAGAGCAGTGGTGTTTGTGAGTCTTTTTAACTGGTATGTATCCTTTCGTCCTCTGTGCCACACACCAAGCTCCTTCCCAGGTACTGTAACTCCGCTTTTCAAACCAGCCTCATGAAGGTGGTGCGATCATCCCCATTTCATAGATGAGGAAACCGAGGGCCAGCGAAGTTATGCCCAGTGTCATATATTTCTATCTGACTTCCCTGTCCTGCCTCCCTCCTCCTGAGATCGTCCACTCTGAAGGAGTCTGATGGAAACTGTGCCGGATATTCATCTGGGGGCTGAACTATTAAATGTGCCCGGGGCTAGGAAAGCGGTGTGCTCTAGTGCACACAAGCACCTCTGCTCTGTATTCTTCTTCTTTCCCTTCTTCCTTTTAAGAGCGCCTCCTCCCCATCTTTGGGGGGACAACGTGCCTCCTCTGACCTGGCAGCACTGTGGAAGGACCCTGATGAGGGTGAATGTCCTCCTCTGAGACCTGCCGGTATTGGGAGTGTCAAGCCAGTCAGAATGGTGTGTTCCAAAATGGTTCTAGATCTTTCATTTCTTCTTTCCCATGGGTGGAAGGGAAAGAAGATCCTTGTTCCCGGGAGAAGGGCCTGCGCTTGGTCTCCTCAAGTCCCAGTTCTGACCCAAGAGAGATGCCTGCCTCAGGGCCTCTGGGATAGCCTTGCCTTCGACCTTCACAGTGAGGCTTCCACTTGGAGCACTTACCCGGCATAGCAGAGGCATTTGGGGGTCCCTAGAGTAGACCACCCCCAAAAGAAAAGGATCTCCCCTTTCCACCACTTCTTCATGGGCCTCTTTGCTTGGTACGTGGTAGAGAAGAGCAGTCCACAGTGGGGAAACACCTAGATCACACACACACACACACACACACACACACACACACACACACACCATCTCCATGGCAACCACCCCCTAGCAAAACAGTTTCCGAAGAATTCATCACTCTAGTTAAGGGAGCATTTGCCTGTCTTTTTTATTCACTTAAAAACACACTTTATATATGACTGCTTACACATGTTAACTACTCTTCTAACCCCCAATAATTAGTCATTATAATCTTCACCACAACCTCAAGAGAAGCTAATAGTATCATCCTCATTATGTAGGTAAAATAAAGGCAAAAAAAAAAGCCAAAAACAAAAAACCCCACAAAAAAAGATTAATTCAGCTACCCATGGTGACAGGATACTGGCAAGGGGTTTGGGGCAAGATTGATCTTTGTTTCTTTCTTGGCAGTGCTGGGGACAGAACACAAGGTCTTGAACAAGCTGGGTGTGTATTTGGCCGCTTCACTACATCCCCAGCACTTCAGGCAGGATTTAAAACTGGAAAGTCTGACTCTGAAGCTCATGCCCGCTGTCTCAGGGAGAAGCTGGGCTGGGAGAATCTCTGTGTGGCCCAGACAGGTCTAGCCATCCTTCTCATACAAGAAAATACACCACATCTTTTCCAGCCTCTGTAGGATCGAGAGTTCAGAAAAGCAGCACGCTGCTCCTTCACCTGCCAGCAGAGCTGCTTTTGGCTCCTCTGTAGAGTGCCTGTGCTGGTGTTTGTGCACACATGTGCTTGTGTGTATGTGTGTGTACGTGTGTGCATGTGTGTGTACGTGTGTGCATGTGTGTGGCATTGGTGATGTATGCGGGTGCATTTTAGAACGTATGAATGACTCACATTTTGGGGAGCCTGCCTGGCAGCGAAGGTAATTAGTATGCGAGCCGAGTCTTGCAAGTTCGTTCACATTTATTCACTGCTCCTCTGGCGGAGCCACTGTGTATATCTCCTGGGGTCGCTGCCATGTGTTCATCCTACTCCCAGTGGCCCTGCCCTGAGGCTGACTTGGAACCTCTGGTATTGTTTGGGTTGGGGGCTCTGGGATGCTCCCCAGCTGCTGGTGGTGGGAGGCACTGGGTGGCTGCTTTAACAAGGCAGGAGCTTACCTCACACAAGCACTGCCCGGGAAGGAGCAGGGCTTCCGGCTGGATGTGTCCTTGTTCATCAAGCCCAGTGTACCCGGCATCACCTGCACAGCTGTGGACACAGGGGCCAAACCCCCTGAGAGTGTGCTTTCTAACAAGCCCCACAGCAATCCTGCAGGACCATTCCAAGCCCCATACTTTGACTTAAACCTATCGAACCCTGGGCTTCCTCCATCATGAATGGGAATGAGAACCCCTGACCTTCCAGGGTGATAAGAAGGTTAAAGACTATAAATTCAGGCAGCAGCAGAGTACCAGATTGAGACAGATGGCCTAGGCTGGAGGTGAGATGGGGAGGAACCAATCAAAAGAGTTTTTACACAATGGAATATTACTCAGCTATAAAAAAAGATAAAGCCGAGGCTTTTTGTAGGTGAATGGATGCAACTAGAGTCCACACTCATAAGTGAACTAAATCAGACCCATTTGTGCAAACATCATATTGTCTCAATAGTGTAAAAACTTGAAAGAGTACATAAAATCTGAAAGGTACAATAGTTACTGTGAAAGGGAAAGAACCTGTTCAAAGGGAATAAAAAACTTGGGATGAGGAAAAGGACAGAAGAGGGAGGGAGAAGGGAGAAAGAT